CCCCAAAACCCCAAAACCCCAAAACCCCAAAACCCCTTAACAAAATCCACAGTTGAAGTTATCATAAATTTTCTGAATGGATAATAGTGATAGGAAGAGGAGGTTCGCTGATTTTATAAATCCTCCCAATTTTGAAGATTTAGTTTGGAAAAGGTCTAAGCATATGCAGAAGCTCAGGAAAGAGAGGAAGTATTCAAACAGACTCAAACTCGTGAAGAAGCATCTTGAAGGCATCAAGCAAGTATCAGATGTATTGGCTAAAGAAGTGGAGGAAAACACCAAGGAGAATGAAGAAAAGATCAGCCAGATGATCTCACAGTATGTTCTATTGGTCTAACCTTTTGTAGGAGTGACTTTCAGTCAGGAAACAACTTTACAAATTGCCCAATCCCTCTTAAAGAGTGTAAGTCTGATTACTGAATTCTGCCTGACTTGATTTTTTGACTCGGTTTTTAGTCAACAAGGAGCTTGAAATTGGCATCCATGAACTTTGAGATGTCGCAAATGAATACTTGAAGGAAAGAGAGGGCATTATCAACATTTCAAAAGAAGAGAATACCTACCTTCATCATTGCCTTCTATCCTGCCTCATTCGCGTCTACGGAGCAATCACTACATTTATGCAGATGTTTACAGATTCTTGCTTGGAAACTCCAATGGTTTCTGCTGAAAACTGAGCTTTAATTTATCAGAAAGGTATTTTGCTATCTCTAAATTTAGTGATTTTCAAGATATTTATCAAATTCCAGAGCAATGAAGAATACATTGAATGCCTACCCTTCTGTATTTTGTATAGTAAGCTTGCAGACTAATCTTCAGTGTGTCTCACTTTGTTGAAGAAGCTGAATGATGTGTAAGTCTCATCTGGATTTTTCAAAGTTTTACTGATAAATTTTAGAAACCTTCAAAGCATAAAACAGATCCTGAAGGAGAATACATGGAGCGAGGAGTTAACTAACCAGCTTAGCGTAAGCATCTATATGATCTTTAGATGGTCAACTCAATGGTCATGCTTGATTACCAGTTCTGGAACTTTCAGAATGAGGTAGAGTTAGCTTAAATAATTTAGTCTATTGCTCACAAGAAATTAGTTGAAGATGTATCAAAAAGCATCCATCCTTTGTATATTGAAAAATGGAACTATCCATATCTTGAGCTCATCAATCATCTTTGTAAGGAATTTCAGCTACCTGAAGACCCAGATGACCACAGTAAGTGCCATTAATCACATATAGACGCTAAAGAGAACTATGAAAACACACTAAAATTTTTAAGTAAGTATCCTTCCTGAAATTTGATCGTTCTCAACTAAAAGCCATATTACAGCTACAGATCGAGTCAGTATCAAATTTCGAGTTTAGTTTCATTGTTAACTCTTCTAAAATAGCCAATGTAGTTGAGGTATACCTCTGTAGATATCCTGGAGGCAGTATTGATGGGTTTCAGATCCTCATAAAGTCCCTAAATCCTGTTTTCAAGCAATTTTTGGAATATGACTTGATGAAGTAAGTTTTATGAAATTTCAAGAACTAACTAATTTAGTCCTATCGATATGAGAATATTTGGAAATGCTCTGATTATCATCAGACTTCTCATTAAGTTAGTCTCTGATCCAAGCTCTACCTGCAGATGTATCCTAGATGAAGCAGAAGACCTTGTTGATGCTCTAATCTGTGCTTATAAGAATGTTGACTGGATCAATTTTGATGAAGATAGTAAGATATTTTGGCAATTTTCCCTCCAATTCCAACATTTCATGCTTGATTATTAACACTATAGATGAAGATATCCCTTCACTTGACAGCAAGAAAGTGACTCTGTATCTGCTGAGCAGGTTTTGTAAGTACGAGAGCAGAAATATACAGAGAGCGAGGTAAGGTTTGAAAGATACTGAAGATAAGAAGATCCAGCATTATCTAGTTTATCAAGTATTTATTCGACTTTTGATATTCGCGATATGATCTTACTGAGAAATTTATCGAAATTTTTTAATTGCTTAGATTTACATGTTGGCTCAAGGAGTATTGGCTGCTCTAAATTTTGACGCTTTGGAGTCGTATTTTAATCATAGCATACCCTGTATCTTTCAGCACCCAGTCTAACTTTTATGTCTAAAATTTTGTTTTATCAAGTCTGAAGATCCCAAGTACTAATTATGTGCATAGAATGTTACTTACAGCAGGGATTCCTAAATCTGAAGCATGGGAACATGTAAATAAGGCGAGAGTGATAGACAGATTAAGAGAAGAGCATCTGGCGATTAATTTTAAATCAGAGTCTGGCTTTGTAATTCTTAAAAGCTTTATTGCTTCTGCCCAAATGCACCTATCTCCTTCCCGCACTTACATATTTTCCACAGAGCCCTACAAATCCTCAGCTGGCACTGACCCATGGATCTCTGAAAGCGGGATTCTGGAAGAAGAGAATTATGTACAAGAGGATGAACTGGAGTATGATAGGGTGGTGAATGGAGGGATTTCAGTGCAGGGATTGTGGCAAGGGATTGTGAAGGCCGTAGGAGGGGAAGAAGAGGATGGAGGGGAGGAGGAGATGTATAGGGTGGTCATTGAGGTGGTGCAGGTTGTACTGGAGAGGTTGTTGAACAATGCACCGAAATTTATACGCTCGGTTCTTTTGAAAACCTCCTTGATTAGAACAGCCTTTGACATTGCTAAATCTCCAGGTAAGCTCTAATCTAACTCTTATAGTCACTGATAGGAAGCACAGTAACAGACTCAAGACTGACTCCCTCAGGTTCATAAACAGCATTCTGAAATTCTCAGATTCTGAACAAGACATACTCGAAATGATCGGGGGTAAGTAAACTCTCTAAACTAGTTTTCTTCTTTGAACCAGCCCACTGATTTTCATATGTATAGAGAATGGAATAGAAGACCTGTACATCGACCACAAGCTATGCAACAGTGAGTTCATCCAAGAACTCAAGTGCCTAGAATCTTACTTTAATTAAAACTCATTCAACCCAGAAGCTAAATTTAGGGGTTTTGGGGTTTTGGGGTTTTGGGGGTTTGGGGTTTTGGGG